TTAAAATTACTCATTAAATAACACCCACAACTTCAGTGATATCAGACAAAAGATGTTAAATCTTACTACTAGTTAAAAAAAAAAAAGATGTATAAACATTGTGAAAGTGTAGCATTTTACGATAAAAGACGCCGATTTGGCGAAGATGACGTCATTAGTGCGCTTGCATCAGGGAATTCAAGGTCAAAAGGTCAATTCAGACACTGATAAGTTATTGGTCGAGCCTTTTTGTTTCCTTTATTCCGACAAAATTATACAATCAATCAAAACAAGTTTAATACCAGAAGAAAGCTAACGATTAGTATTTTCATTAACCGCTTGCCCCAAAGTCGCTTGACCACAGTGAAACGAGTGAGAGCTTGCGAGAGCGGCCAAAGTGTGATTGAAACTCACTGTTTGCTCTTTTCCAACGCAAAAAGAGACGACATTGTGCTGGATAAATGTATTTTTTCCGACAAAAGTACAGAAAATTTGCATATGGTCTTTTTATATTATACTTTATGAAATCTTACCCGAGTGACTTCCGGGCGCCCCACTGCTGGAAAGAAACGCACATTTTAGAAAACTTCACTTTTCATGGAAAAATGCTGATTTCTTCTATGCACGCAAGTCAGATTGAGCGGATGATACAACGTTTTCATATGCTCTAAAACCATATTGACTATCCGATAATAAATTACATAGGTTCAAACAATATATCAATCTATTATTATAATAGATTATAAAAACATTTTTCTAAGATTTTTGAAAATACTGGCAAGACTGATATTGGTCGATAATTACTCATTGTTTCGAATGATCCATTTTTATATACAGGAATAACTTTTGCTATTTTTAACTTTTCCGGAAAAATACCTTGATTCATAGATTCATTAAAAATACGACACAGCGGATAGCATATGATGTGAACAACTCTTTTAACGATGACAATATCAATTTCATCATAACCAGTGCTTGATTTGCTTTTCAAGTCACAAACAATATCTATAATTTCTTTAGTTGTAATAGGCTTAAAAAGGCAGTTACATTATTGCTTTCTAAATATTGCATATGATTATTATTTCCAATCAAAGTATTTTGAACATTATTTCTCAAAGAAGCACCTATATTAACGAAATAATTATTAAACTCTTGAGCAATGCATAAATCATCTGTAATACGTCCATTATTAAAGGGAAAGTCCACCCCCAAAATAAGTTTGTTTCGATAGAGGCAGAATAATAAGAAAATCAGGTGAGTGAAAGTTTGAGCAAATTCTGAATGAAAATAAGAAAGTTATGAATTATTGAAGTTGTGATCAATCAAATACAAATTGGCAACTCTGTGACGTATTATACGAGCTCTCCTTCATTAGCTTTATGCATAATATTCCATAAAATCATGTTTTCTTCGTTATTGATGACGGAATATATATTTGTTCCTTGCAGGGGGAGTATAGAAACATATTTGCAATTATTATATTTACGGTGCATGTATGGTTGAAATTTTTCTTGAGGGAAAATGAAAATTTTAGATTTTTTTAGTACTGAGCAAATGGAAGTTGAGCTCGCATGATACGTCATAGAGTTGCCAATTCGTGTTTGATTGATCACAACTTAAAAAATCCTAACTTCCTTATTTTTAATCGGAATTTGCTCAAACTTTCACTGACTTGTTTCTCTCATTTTTCTACTCCTATTAAAACTAACTTAATTTCAGGGTGGACTTTCCCTTTAACTTGAATGTGTTCAATATTTGTATCACGAGTCTTAAATGAATTCATATAGCTTTATTTATTAACTTCCACGTTTCTTTCATGTCACATTGCGAGAACTATCAGTGTCAGTTTGAGTTTCAGCATTCTTACTAGCAATTTCAGTCCACTCACTAGCCCATGCAGTCTCCGACGCCATTTTCCTAGATGAATATCGCAAATCAAGTGGTGAAGGGGACCTTTCGTCGTAATCCAACTCTTCTTCTAGTTCGGGCGTAGATTGTCGGCTAAGTCGAGGGGAAGCTTCCGATCCATCATGATGTGGAGACACCGGGGTCTTTGGACATGACGATTTCGGTAGGTCTCTTTGGGGTGATTTGGATTTTCGTCGCGATGAGCGGTAACGACATGGTGACCTCCCTCGAGGTCGGTCTAATCTTGGATCATCACGTGGTGGCGACCGCGAGTCCATTATTACAAGACGCCACGATGCATCAGCTTTTTCAGAGGTCCCTGTAATTGGCGTGGAAGTGGGTTTGCATCTTGGCGAATAAACACGCGTTGAGCTGTGTTTTCTCACGGGAACCACAGCTTAGTGCTGTAAGTCAGACGCTATGTTCGTGTTCGGTTCGGCAAAGTTCGGCAATTTTTCCCCCGAACTTGGTTCGGTTCGGGGTTCGGTAATTTAAAAGCAAGCAACGTTATAGCCACGGCGGTCGGGACTGGGCAGGCCGCCCGCCCTGCCGGGCCTGACCGGCACGGAGGACTTCTGCACACTGCTTCCGACCAGCACAAATTTCACATTAAAAAACTGCTCTAAACGTAATTATTTGTAAATAAAAATACTACTTACATTCGTATTTCCGTCTTGAATCGTGTTTTATTTTCAATTTTAAAAGAATCATGTTTTCAATTTGTCAATAAATGATGTTTTTAAAAGATTTTCCGAGACGGTTGTTGTCTAATGTTAGAGTCATAAAAGGTGCCATCTTGAATATAGACTTTCAGGCTCGCCAAGAACTGTTTTTTATAATTTTTTATTTTCAATAGGAAAAATATAAAATTGCTATTTTTCCTGAATAAATAAATACCATACTATAATATATATTTATTTCATTTTTTATATTGTAGAATTTGTCCGATATGGTTACAATTAAAATATTAATATTTTGTTCAATGGGTTTGAGCAAATTGAGCTGAACTTGTTTTGATCACGCACATGTATTCTTGTTTATGGCTTGCGATCGCGACGTAGCGTGGTCAGGATTTGGGATTTAAATGGCGCCAGTGAAGTTGCGCCCACCACTGGATAGGCATAAATCACAAGGGCGGAAAATGGGAAAAAAGTAAATATAATATGAGCAATCATAATATGAAAATTAGGTACAAAATGAAAAGTTTATTAGCTTGCAAAAAAGTTTACATTTTTTTTTGCCGAACATCCGAACCAGGCCTTTGTGTTCGGTTCGGTTCGGTTCGATTCGGAAGTGCCATGTTCGGCGAACTTCCGTTCGGTTCGGCGGTTCGGCTACAGCACTACCACAGCTACATCATGGGCTCCCTGATGCCGCTCCATCTCAGTCTTTCTACCCGTGCGGTAATCGCATTGGTCTCAACGATACGTCAGGATATGCACTTCCCGCTTGTGTCTCTGCAAAGATCCTTTCTTCTCATTACTTTTGGTACAAGAGTCACATTGAAAGAAGTGGGTAGTCGTACGTCGGGCATCAACGTCCTTGCTTCCCTGCTTGTCGGGTGGCATGTTTCTGCTTGCACTGGTTTCAATGGGCATCGTCTGGTTGCACATTACTGTGCCCACTTCTTCCAGCGCTGACAAAACCAGTGCCTAAAACGGCTTGCCGTAAATACGCAGCAATACGTAAGCCAAATACGCAAAGGTGTGACTAAGGCATTACCACGGAGTATGTAAAATGTGCATGTTTATACCTATATCAAAGCGAAAATACTGCTATCTCTGAAATGATTCTCCGATCTCCCTCCCCTTCTTCCTCATCTTGTTCCTAGTAGTAGTTTGCATAATTTCAAATGATTACTTTCTGTTTTCTAGGACAATCAGGTATATTAAAATGAATCAAGAAATTTTAGAATTGGAAACGTGAAACAAATAGTAAGCATCTAATAACTTCAGATGCTTCTTTTACTATGATTCAAATTCGAGCTATTTCAAATAAAAACTTATTAAGTACTTTGCATTATCTAAAATTCTTGGCTAAAAATGCTGTCAAATGTAACAATGTAACAATTAGTTATAATACGTATTTGCTATGAGGTCATTGTTCTGAACGCCATTGCCACCTTATCGTTCTTGTATTTTCTTAAAATTGTGCAAGCGTATTTTGGGTGGCCAAACGCAGGTCATCTCGAAGCCAGATTTGAAAATCTGTGAAGGCGGGCATTATTGACCCCATTTTATACTCTGCTTGATTATATTAGTATGGAAGGCCATTTAGGCCACGGCACGCGTCAAGACATGTTCTTCTTTCACCAAATCCGATTTGATATGCAGTGCTTGTGAGCAGTGGCGGATCCAGGGGGGGGCCCGGGGGGCCCGGGCCCCCCCCCCTTGAGAAAAAAAATCATGTAAAATCACGTGATTTTTACCTTTTTGGGGGGTTGGGCCCCCCCCCCTGGCGCTCAAGGGGGGGGTGCAAATTGAAATTTTTTTGAGGATCAAAAAAAAAAAAAGTTCTCACTACCCCCCCCCCCCCCCCCCCCCCCACTGAGCGAATTTTTGGCCGGCGCGTTTTTGAAATTTTCGGGAGCAAAAAAAAAAAAAAAAAAAAAATTGTGCTCTGTACCCCCCCCCCCCCCCCCCCCCCCCCCCCCCACTGAGCGACTTTTCGGCCGGCGCGATTTTCAAATTTTCGGGAGCAAAAAAAAAAAAAGTTGGGCCCCCTCCCCTAAGAAATCCTGGATCCGCGCCTGCTTGTGAGCCCTATCTAGGTCCCTTCCCATATCCAGATTCCTCACAAACTTCGTAGACATAATCTCTAGCATCCCATCAAGGTCACAGAAATCTTCGTTTTCCAAAATCACTCATGCGTGACCGTCCAGGCGCCATTTTGTCTTTGCAGGCCGTTATTGAAGCCTTTCATTCGGCCCACCTATCTTCACTGTCCTAGCTAATACAGACTTCTAACAAAATCCTCTGGATAGTCCAAAAGAGGCTCGTTCGTCTGTCACGGAAAAAGAACGGCGTCAATGCATGCCAATCGTTCTAAAAGCGATTGCAGTTCTAGTTTCTGTTATTTGTGAAATAAATGTATTTGAATTTGAATTTGAATAGGCACTTCAAGCAGCTGTACTTGGGGTCTTGTCGCTGGAACTGCGCTCATTGGAACAGATGCTACGCTGATCAAGAATCCTTTCACGGCGAAGTATGAAGGATTCGTGATATCTCCTAAAGGGAAGATGTACCGGACATGGCAGCATGCCAGTGGCAACAGCTTTAAAGCCTGGAAAGCAATGGCTTGTAAGATTTTGATTATTGTGAATCATTCCCCCCCCCCCCCGGGGGGGGGGGGGGGCTGTCAAATACATTGCTATACACACGCGGGCCCCTATAAACGTTGAAAAGGGTGGTTTCTGGTCGTTAAGGCGGGTGGTGCATTTATGGCGTCAACTAGTCAAAACATCAGGGAGAAGGATGTTTGTTGACTGACTTAATATAAAATTAATAAACAGCAGTGAGGGCATATTAAAGAAGGTATTACCCACACAATGTACCCTCTGAAAATTTTAACATGCCCGAGGCGGTAGCCGAGGGTATTTAATTTGACTGCTTCGAAGGTACCGACTGTGGGTAATTTTAGTAATGCCCGAACACAACGATGTGTATCATTTGTTTTATAAGATGGTGTCTTATTTGTTTCATGACATGATTTTACAAATGACCTGTCATTAATATTTACTAATGACCGGTCATCAGTAAAATTACGTGTAAGGCAAAATAAATGCCTGGTCACGTGTACGCTCTTAACCAATCATTTGATTAGGATCCGCTTCATCATCATATAATAATAAATAATGTATACAAAGTAGATTAAAACCTTTAGAGATACTGTTATGCATAGCAGGTGAAATAAATGTACACAAGTTAGAAGCACATTGCTTGAAATAAATTAGTAAATCGGTCTATCTAAAGCCATACTGTACTATAAGCATTAATGCAAAATCCCCTCTGATGCCATCTCAAGTCAGCTGTAGCAGTATGGTTCCGTTACTCGCTGATTTCCTGGCTGCGCTGTTGGTTCTCTCGTCGAGTCTCTGTCTGCGAACTGCAAGTTAGTTATAAGGTTATTATTTTAGCACGCTGTTGGAAAGTTGACTATGAGATGGCGCTTTGAAATAAACAGTACGCTAGGGCTGTAAGTTTATTAGTTCAGTATCGCTTTAAACAAGAGCGTAAACCCTTTTTTCTTTCAGCTTCACCTACCTTCTCAGTTGTCTCCAGACCTGTCGCTCAAGTAATGGGCTACAGCATTTTTAACGGCAAGATCATGATAGGGGGAATCGGAGTGGATAACTACGTGCACAGGTGGGCACATCCTCAAAATTATCCACAAAATCATCTTCATAGTAAACTACTCTAAAAGAAAACATGATATTTTTTGTACACAGCACATAAGTACTCTTTGGCGATATTCATATCATGGGTGATTACGCGCAATTTGTCTTGTCACTTTTTGAAAATGAAGCAGCACCACGTGTTACGTACTGCGCTGTTCTCTGACTTTTTAACGATCAATCCGACCAACTCATAAAACACAAATATTATACATTTACCTCAAAGTTAACAATTCACTTTCACTTTCTGTTGACTATATAGGATTAGTATTAGAAGCAGATATTTTTTACTTCATTATAGTAACATTTGCAGCAAATATGTTTTAAGATGATGGTTGCAGGCAACGTAGCCAAGCTAGGGGAGTGATAGGGCAGTCATTCCTTATAAAACCAACCGGGAAAAGAAAAGAAAAGAAAGGAAAAAAAGAGTAAAATAATGTTGTTGAATGAGAAAAGTAAGCAAATTCTCTTCTTACATCTTTAACTTTTCTCTCTATTTTATATTTTTCGGTAAAGTTGCTCAGTGAGGCGCTCGTAGATTGTTCCTCTGTGGCAAAACTTTAATTATAAATGATCAAATTCAGGTCAATACTAATGATGGATCTATATTTTCAAAAAGTGTCGTTCCAATCTTCGCTACTCTAAGGATGTTTTTCTGCTTCAATGTACCTTGTTGCAAAGCTGGGGGTGGCATGTTTACTGGGACTGCATCTACAGAATGGAACAACATCCCATCTTTCTTCAAATCAGTTAATTCTACAGACCAATTTAAGAAAATATTGAAAACATAATTTTTGAAAATACTGAATGCTAGTAACTATTATTGTTATTATCATTAAATATATTTTCTGTGTGTGATTGCGATAATCAGGTGCGCCCAGGCTGCCTGTGATACAGTGGACAATCCTTGGAGTTACTGCACGTGGGGAGACTGGCATCAGACTGGGGGAAGATTCCATTTGACCAAGGAGGGATGCAAAACAACTTGGTCATGAGCAGGAATGTACACTTCGGAGTTGAGATCTTTGCGGTCCAAGAAACGAGTGGGCAGTAAGTATATCCAGGGACCTAACATTTCTCATTTAAAGACCGGGATACGACCCATGAGACCAATTTATTTAGCCAAATGTAATTAGCCCTTCAGACATGGATAGACTAGAATTTACGTCAGGCGGCTCATGCCACGAGACGAATGATCTGAAGTTAGCCCAATACACATCTGTTATAATGTGAAGTTCCCCATGAGAAATCATAATTGCCTATCTTCATTTTGTAGATTATGGCAAACTTGGCAGCCCGGGAGAGATACGTCTTGGAACGTCTGGAGAAAGATTCCACAAAACCTGACGGGGGCAGCGTTCATCAATAACCCTTACCTCCGTCTCAACGAAGCTGGATGGTGGATGGCATATGGTCTCAATTACAAAAATCAGGTGATTATTTTGGTTCTAGGACACCTACCCCCTGGACATCCACCCCCGGATAACCAACCATAGTTAACTACCCCCTATGACAACTACCCCCTAGGACAACTACCCCCCCCCCCCGGACAACTACCCTACGGACAACTACCCACTGTCTGGGGGTAGTTGTCCAGGGGTAGTTGTCCAGAGGGTAGTTGTCGGGGGGGGGGTAGTTTTCTTAGGGGGTATTTTACTTGGGGTGGTTATCCCAGGGTGGATGTCAGGGGGTAGGTGTCCGGATACGGATTATTTTATCATGCAAGATTGTATAGTGATCATTGGAAATTGACTAACATTGGTTACAAATCATTAGAGTCGGTTCATGTTACAAGAGATAATGTGATCATGTGAGATATAGGACCACTTGTACGATACTTGCTCTTGTGACAATTGCTCTGCGTCAAATTCTTATGCTAAGCAAATTCATAATTTTAATCCTGGACCCAATACCTAACCCTAATTAGAACCCTAAAAGTCCAATTGCAATCCAGTGGCGGATCCAGGGGGAGGGGGGGGGGGGGGGGCCGAAAAAAAACATGCAAAATCACGCAATTTTTACCTTTTTTGGGGGTGCAAATTTTAAAATTTTCAAGGACCCCCCCCCCCCCCAAAAAAAATAAAAAAAATGTGCTCACTACCCCCCTCCCCCCCCCCCCCCCCCCCACTGAGCGACTTTTCGGCTGGCTCAGTCGTTGCGATTTGTTTTTGGACTCCAGAAAAAAAAAAGTGTCCGCTTACCACCCCCCCCCCCCCCCCCCCCCCCCACTGAGCGACTTTTCGGGCGGCGCGATTTTCAAATTTTCGGGAGCAAAAATAAAACAAATTGGGCCCCCTCCCCTAAGAAATCCTGGATCCGCGCCTGTTGCAACCTATCCCTTACCCTAAACCTTTGACGAAATAAAAAGGCTGGAGGGATTGTTGCAGGAGCACTTGTCAGGTCACTAATCACACAATCTATAAGATGAGAGCTGTTCGAAATCGCTGTTGGTCTACCCAACAGAGGGCCATGTGATAATCTACAGTGTATCTCTGAGGTGCATCTTGGCTCATGGTATGACAACATTCTTAAAAATCTTAGAGTGAATGAAAAATGAAATCTTAATTGGAGGTAAATGAAGCTGATACCTTCAAACCTTTTTGAGAGTTTCTTTCCTCGATCTTTGAATTCATTCTGACCATGCATTCCTTGCAGGTTGTTCCGGTTGAGGCTTCACATTCCATGGACATCAGTCCAAAGAAGGTAGCCTGGTCCAAGAACCTGGTCGTGTCCTGGACCATCTCTAGCGACCAGGCTTCAAAAATGGACTGGATCGGTGTCTACCCCAAGGGAGCAAACGACGATCAGTACCTAGACTACAGGTAGGTATGAAAGCTCTAACCAGACGATTAGTTTGTTGGCACATAACCTTGTTCTTTGCTGAACATAGCAGTGTCTGCACTGTGAGACTAGGCTAGCAGGATACTGCCTATATAGGCTATGTGATTTAGCTTCTCCGGCCGAGGCCAGAGACTGACAGAGCAAGGCTTTGCTCAAGGCAAATTGTGTGTGTGATGTCCTAGAGGGCAACTTATAAAACATCCATCTTGATTTTTTTTTCTCATTTCTGGAGTTTTTTCCATTTTTTTACAAATTTGTCCTAATGAACTGGTTTCACTGTTTTGGGGGTTTTCCCTTTTTTTATTGAGTCTTCCTCTTTTCTGGAGCTGTCTTTATATACATGTTCGCTTTTCTTCCGTTTTCCACTTTTCTTGTGTGGTCTTTTTATACAGGTTTTACTATTTGCGAGTTTTCAACTTTTCTTGAGTGGTCTTTATAAAATAAGTTTCTTTATCATTATTCTCCAGGTATGTCCAGGGTGGCCTGAATCCTGGAAAGAACCCAGTATGCATAGGAAAGGTGTCTATGTCCTCCTTCGTTCCAAACGGGACTTATCAGGTTCGCTACCTGGTGAACAGTCAGTTCATCAGCCTTATGGAAAAGGGTACGTTAAATGCTCGTTCAGATACGAGGCTATTCCCCATTTTTTTTGTTTATGACATTGCAATATTTTCTTTTTCTTGGACACACATGTTTAAAGAATTCCCCTATTTTAACATAATGTAAAAATACATAATGACGATCATGCACCAATTTCATGTGGATTCAACAGTGTTTTACATACCTACATTTGTTAAATATATGTACAAGACGGATAGCAAAAAGTGGGGGATGACGTTACCATCTCACTAACTTTTATAAAGCATTCGTACATTTGTCTTTTTAAACAAGCCAGAAGAACATAGCACATTACATGTCCATTTCCACATTCTACCCAAACTATACTTGTCTTGATTAGATGTGACCTTCTACAACGAATCCCGCGAGTCAGATATGTTGCAGCTTTTCCGAGGTATATACACCGGTCTGGAGGCTAGTACGGATAACATTGATGCATGTATAAATGAGGGTCTACAGACCATACAGATGTTTGAGGAATGTTTCAATGAGTTCAAGATGGGAAAGGTAATTACTAACGACTGTTCACTTAGTTTTGGGGTATGAAGTATTCCTGAATAAAATGACACGAAGCTCATCAAATCTCGGTAAGGCGTTTTGATTATACGGTTATGTCTGTGAAGCGATGTTGTTTGAAAGATTTCCATCTTTTTGCAACAAGACCCTTTCACACCGGGCCATACGTAGAGTTGCGTAGTATTGTGAATCGACTACGCCGAGCGTACGCTGACCTACGCTGGCCTACGTAACTATACGCTGAGGGACGCAAAAAGGTACGCGAGATGGACGCAACAAATTAAACATGTTTAATTTTCGCGTACTTTCGGCGTAGACGCTAGAGGCAGAAAGTACGCATTTGTACGCAAGTCAACGCAGAACAATGTTAATGTTCGCCATGCCTACATAATAGTACGCTACCCTGCGCCAGTCCGATGAATCATTAAAAGCGTATAAAGGCGTCCAAGATCGTACATACGCAACTACGTACCCTTAACGCCAGACCTACGTAAATGTACGCTAGCCTACGCATAACCTACGCAGGAAATACGCCAAAGCAACATTTTTCATGAAGACGCAGCCTCGGCGTACTCGATACGCAACACTTCGCAACTCTACGCAGATCCAGTGTGAAAGGGGCTTTAAGCAGCAAGAAATGTTTGCATGACGGCTGAATTCCCATACATCCAGCTGTGTGGTTGAAGAGAGTCGTCATTCTTTTATTTTTTTTTGTTTTTATTATTATCATTTTTTTTATGTTGTTAGTATGTTTATACAAATTATGTATATATATATATATATTTTTTTTATGTTCATGCCTCTTTTTTCCTAGGTATTTCAAGGTCTACAACTCCTCGGCACAGCCCTTGAAGATGTTGCCCAGACCCTGACAAAATGTAATCTATTTTCGATCGCTAAGAAACTCCTCGGCTATATCACAGATCTCCTGGAGTGTATGGAGGGTAATTGTCTTAGTTTCGTCTTCGACTTTATCATGGAGCTCCGGATCCTGTTTTTGAATAGGTATGAGATCTACGGGGATATCAGGGGTGCCGAGAATAGCTTTCAGCAAAAGGCTTATCAGCAAGGAGGGCTGTGTATCGGAAGATTTGTCAAGGCTTGCTTTCTGGTACAGGACTCCCTGATGGCCAATGGTAGTTTGGAGTATGTTAAACTGAAGGGGGTTGTGAAGATGACTGGGAACAGTACGAGTATGAATGCTTTGAAGCTTAATGCCACCGGTAGTACTAAGAATATGAAGCTGGTCGAATCCGGTAGTAAGATGGGGGTGAAGCTGATTGAAACTGGTAAAAAGAAGGGGTAAATTGATTGAAAGTGGCAGAAAGGAAGGAGTCATTGTCAGGCCTCTCATAAGATGAAAATGAGTTTATGTTTTTTTTCGGGGGGGGGCGGGTGATGGGATATTACAAGGTTCAGCCTTTGGTCATTTGCTCTTTGGATCAGTAGCATTAGTAATAGGACACATGTTTTTGTAATTTTGTATTTTATGGAAGTGATCATAAAAGTAAATGTAAAACCATGTGTTGTGATAGTTTGCTCTGAAATGCTGTGTGCCGTAAGTGTCCTACTGCAACGTTGTCTTTCGTGTTTCTGTATAAAGCAATATGTGTGTCAGACTCCTAGAATGTATTGCAAGCAAGGATGTACGTTTTTAGAGGAATGAGGTGCAGAATAAATCCATTTGCTTGTGTCCTCACATGTATTACAGTCTAGAGTATCAATTGGATGTGGGGCGGGGTAGTTGATTTCCCTCACTTATTTGGATATTTTTGTAACTTTGCGTCCAATAGAGCAACAACAAAATTGTTATATATATCATGTGGTAGAAAAGAGGGAGTAAATTGATAGACACTGTCACACTTGTATAAAGAACTTGGTGAATCTGATTGAAACTCGTAGTAAGGAGAGGCTGAATGTGATTGAAACTGGTAGAAAGCAGGGGTAAATTGATTCTTATAACGCAACGAAAACCTTTCATGTAGTAAGACTTATTTACTCGGTATTTAAATAACATGTGCCTTTTCTGTTAGCCGCACACCAATTATTCCTCTATTCCTCTCTATCTGTCTCTCTGTTTCCTGAAGCAAGTCATTTTTTGTCATTTTTTTGCCATTGAGTTTCTGTTGTTTTTTGCCTGTTTATATTATCATATTTTGTTGTGGCTGTACTCATAAGTTACAGAGCTGCATGCACTTCAAGCGCAAACTTACGCTGCAGCTCTTTTGCATTTGCTATGTCAATCATTCCCAACATTTTTTGGCATAAATTGCGTTATTCATTGTGATTTGAAAAAGAAAAAAGTACTATTAAAATGTTCATATTGTAACTGATTATTTTTGTATGAAAAATGCAGGAATCAATAAATCAAAACAAAGAAAGAGGTGATCTGATTGAAAGAGGTAGAGAGGAGGGTGAATCTAATTGAAAGTGGTAGTAATTAAGGAGGGGTTGAATCTGATTGACACTGGTAGAAAGGAGGGGTAAAGTTGGTTGATACTGATTCTTAATCATGTGGTTGCCCCCCACGTCCCCCCTCCTTCCTAGTCCAAATATAATTATAAGTGCCACTGATCACAATACATGTTCTGTATAGTTCGTGTAAGGTAATCCTATGTTAAAGTACTGTTTTCTGACATTTTAAATATTGTGCCTGAGGAATGTTTCTATCTTAAAAGGTCTTTCGCTTAATCAGTGTTTCTGTTTTGCAAAGCTTTCAATTTTATTTTACATATTGCATTTTTATAAAATATACTTAATTGCATTATATGATTACATACCTGGGTATGTATATAGTGGAGAATCTATGTTTTGTATATCATGTATTGGTCGTTGATATAACAATACTCTCTCTGATGGTGTTATTCCTTGATGAATAAGAATAAAGATTAATAATTACGTTTATAAAGTCATGCTTGGTGTGTGTTTTGTTCTTTTAGTTCACAAGAATTCCTCATTTTGGGTAGCAATTTTCATTCTTTCGTACTTCTTGTTCTCTTTCCCCTTTCATTCTTTCAGTATTTTTGTTTTGCTTTCAATTCTTTTTTTACACAATTAACTTTTATAAAATAAATTCAATTGCACTAAATGATTAAATACCTGTTATGTAGTAAAGAATGTATGCCTTTTATATTATGTATATTTCCTGGCTATTTTGGAAATCATGACTTGTTCATTTATTTATTTATTTATTTATTTATTTTTTCGTGTTCGTAGAGATAACAGAACTAGAATAAAGAGAATAAATAATTGCGCTTTTGAAGTTAAGCTTTGTCGGTGTCCTTTTTTCGTTCACAAGAGTTCCTCATTTTTGGTAGCAAAAATGTCTTTCTTTCTTATTTATTGTTCTTTCCTGCTCCTCCTCCTACTGCTCCCGCTCCTTCTTCCCCTTAAATTATATTTGTATCGATAAAACTCACTGTAATCATGGTAATTATGCTATTCCTAGATGACACAATCATCATCTTCTTCTTCCTATTTTTTTCTTTTCTTCTTCTTCTTTCATGAAAATAACTTGTTTTCTAAAGTCCTATGTTCTGACCATACCCCTGGCACCTATTTATAGGCACCGAAGCAAGGGGAGAGTGTAGGAGCGGACGCCCCCAATCGAAAAAGTGAGGGGAGGGGGCACAATGCATTTTCTCCCCATCCCAACAAAAGAAAAACAAAACGCCCTCCGCCCCCCGAAACAAAATCAGCAGTAAAGAATTAAAAATGGTTAGTGTTTTATAACCAAAAAGAAAAATAAGAAATAATTAAATGACTTGAATCACATACAAATTATATTCCATTCAAAGAAAAGGAGAGTAGGCAGGAATATCGTGGAAATATTGTGAGAGGGTGGGAAATCGTGTTTTTTTTTTTATTATAGGGGCGAGAAGACGTGAGCCCCTGAACGCTGGCGTACTGATGGGGGGGGGTATTTCTTATTCGATACCAGTGGTTTACAAATGTTGCTGAAATGACATGATTTTCCGGGATTAAAAACAAATTATTTTGTAAAATATTCTTTTTTATGCGTTTGTTGGAAAATTCCCTAATTGACAGTCAGGCAAAAAATATGCTTTTTAGAACCGTCATGTCAGGATCTGCGTAACGGCGGGGTCCGGGGGCTCAAGTCCCCCTCAAGTTCCTGAAAAAGTATGTTAACTAAAGAGAAAAGACTGAAAGAGAGAAAGAAATGAGGTATTAAAATATGCTCATCTGACCGTAATTAAGTGTCTAAACCCCTGAGCTTCATGGGGCTCAGCCCCCTGGACCCCCGCCAATTAGTGACATGCCAGTGTCACAAATAAGGCCTGCCTGGAGAGGGGGAATATGAGAAATTCATAATAAATGTTTCTTCGACTGGTCTGTGTGTTTGTCATATCCCCTCCCCATTTTAAGTTTAAAATAGACCGATGTTTACTTCAGAAGATACATAAGTTTCGTGGGCATATTAACTTGGTCCAGCTGGGCGAAATGGCCTGTTCATCTGCAGATATTCTACAAACTGGTGATTGCTGTTTTGAGAGTAGGACGTTTTCAGAATATGACCTAATGTATGCTTAAAGGGATCCAGTAACTTTGTCTCAGATTCTGCTACAATGATAATTATAACGCTTTAGGTCAGTCAGGAACCCCATGACTTTAACAAGCCGATCGCATGTCTGATTATCAAGATATTTATGATTGGAATAACAAATTTTGAAAACCGTTTGCTAAACGGTTTTCATAACACTATAGTCTATTGTGGAAAACGAGTATGGTTAAACCGGTCATTCAAAGATTTTTACATTTTTGAGGCTCTTCTTGATCATTTTGAAGCGCAATCTTTTAGGGCTTCAATATTATACTGTGAGGTGGTCGAGAACTCGAAATCAATGACAGACAGATCCTGTGAGAGGGCCAAGCAAAGAGTCTTTATTAGAAGTAACCAGTAACATACACATTACATATCACTAATGCCGATAATCATGGAGATCATGCATTCCCCGAAACATGTCATGTTATCAAATATTAAACGAGTAAATTTGCCCTTTAAAAACCAATTGCCACAGTACAATGTAGCTGAAACTCTCAACATTAAACTTAAACAACTAGAAGTAACAGTCAATATAAACCTCGTATAAAGCAATACATTCACATATTTGGATAAACCAACACACCAAGCTAGGTTTAATAACCTTATCATGTCACCTCAATATCACTACTTAATTCTTGTTCAATAAACTATACCTTTAACTTGTACATTGTAATATTAAGACAATGCAAATATCGTAAAAACATAAACTTAAATAGGGCTATCCTGGTTCCCCCTTTTCACAGTAAGCACATATTAAAGAATGAATAATGAAACTAACAATATATCACAATAATGGAACAAAGACAAAATATCTCTGCTTTTAAATATCAGAATATCCCAAGACCTGAAACATTGATAAATCCTGGAAACTATAAATCTCCGTATATCTGCATCAAATACAACTTCCATCAACCAATCCAATTCAAATATGTATCTTCCATACTTTTCTTGCTTCCAAACAAACTCCAATAATCTCCTGGTCTAACCCTAAACATTGCTCTTACTCCTATTATTCCATCTCAATTTAACATGTAACAATATTCTTTTATAGCAATCTGCAAAATGAGAAATACGGTTTACAATGATAGAGGGCGCTAGAAACCCTCGAATGGCTACATAGTCAGACAAAGTTCGATCATCACTGTTTGAAGTGCCATAATTAATATCCCCTAGCTTAGCAACCAAAATACAAACAACATGCAATACTTTTAAACACTCAACTTCTATTATAAGCACTTCTTTTCTATGCTCCCTACCGTTCTTACTGACCTCATTCCTAAACCAAGACTTATACTAATAGAGCGTGCTCTGGTCCTGGTCCTGGCCCTGGGACCAGGCACAACATTAGCGCGCACGCACTACACCCAATTTTGGTACCGCGCGTTCAACTTATTAGTGTACATAACCATGTACTACAATGTAAATGCATATAACAAATCAAAGCGCTAAGCATCACACAGTTTAACATTAAATCCTCGTTTCCAGTATAATCATATCAACCCACATGATACATCAAAATAACTACTGAAATCGTTTTGACACAATACACATATGTACATAACAAATCTCTAGCATAACAATATTAATATTTACTAAACATAACAGTGGTTCAAGTTTGGTCAACTCACCTGTGAGAGGGCCAAGCAAAGAGTGCCGGCTTGTCTTAGCACTCCACCCTCTACAGGTCACAGGGTAATTTCCTAACCCTTTACAATACCATATCACAGACACTCATAGGGCCG